GTTATCATCTGAGCAGTGGTCTTACTCACTTTTCTCCATTCCCCCGCCCAAATGTAAGTGGCACAATAGATAAAGCATTAGATTGCTGGTCAGAAATAACTGCATTCAAATCTGATCTCAGACACCTACTAGCTATGTAACCCTGGCTCTCTGCCTCAATTTCCTCATCTGTAAAATAGGATAATATAGTACCTAACAAATAGAGTTATTGTGAGGATCAAATAAGGTAATGCTCACTATGATAATAATAAGCCACACTCTTTATTTCCATCCCTTAGGCATGTCTTTTTAAAAACTAAGTCGGTTAGAGTTCTTGTGAATGCTCATTTTTCTATGTAGACAGCTATTATTTTTTGACTTCTCAACAGAATTATTCCTGAGTGTACACACATAGATGCTGGGGATACAAATAACAAAAGAAAACATGCCCTACCCTCAAGAATGTCACATTCTTCTCTTTGCATTATATAAGGAACATTATGTAACCACCTAATTTATGTTGCATGAATTAGGTATGATATGCACATAGTGGATAGTTAACACCTTTGATGAAGGAATTCAAGAAGACCTTCTCACCTCACTCAGTTTGCCTTCAATTTGGCTCTGACTCTTTACCATGCTAATCTTATTCCTAGCTAGACATTGAAAGACTGTTTATGCTATTTCCTGCCAAGAAGGGCTAGCCACCCCTCCAGGAATTGAATATTCATAAACCGGAATGCTCTCCAGGATGTTTTGAAAACAGCTCTTTTCCCATAAATCATGCATTTATTTAGCAAAGGGCCTTCTTTGTTAGAAGGAATTACTCGTGGCAGGTAGTCCTGAGCCATCTTTGGAGTCTCACCTGTGGTACGGACATGTAGCCTGGTATTTTCCCATTTGGATTCTGGAGGCTGATTCCGGGACTCCCCAGCCACATGATCCAGATATATTATTTTTTTCCCTGATGGTACTGACCGATTGTGCTAAGATTTGATATTGACTGAGACTTCAGTTGTTACTGATTAAGACTTATGTTAGCTATTGATACTTACTGTGTGAGATTTACTTATTGAGACCTATACTAACTACGGAGATTTAAAATATTATTGCTTACTTACTGAGACTTATACTATCACTTACTTACCTTTATCACTATTTTAATAATAAATATTTTTACTATATGCATATATGCACATATACATACATGCATACATACATATATAAATCAAACCTGAGAGGCTGTATCATTTCCAAAACAATCTGAACTGTAACTAAATTAAGCTGCGATAAATAAGGTTGCTTTGCAATACAACACTCAGTAGGTAAAGAATTCTTTGGCCATGGCAAACCATAAAAGATAAAAGTTCTTTCAATCAAGACCCTTAGTTCTTTGCGGCCCTCATCTACTTCTACTTTTGCAGTAACAGTGGTGGAAAATATCAGAAGATAGTAAGAACCTCAGGATTTAGAACATTTACTTCAGTCATTTAAATGCTGGTTTTTGAAATGTGAGCTATTTGTTTATTAACCAGTAAGGAGAAAAACTAGTGCTGGAATGGAGCTATCATCCTGGAGAATTGCTATGGTATAAAAAAAAGAAAAAAGTAAGACAGAAGTTAACCAGAAATAATCCTAGCAAAGAGCCACTAATAAAGCTCATAGTTCCAGATATCTAGACACAAATCAACAAAATATGGGTAACAATCAATGTTAACTAGACAATGTAATACAAAAAAGCAAATTTGACTTCATAGGCATACTTGAGACTTGGTAAGATAAGTCCCAAGACAGGAATGTAGCTCTGGAAGAGTATATCTTATTTAAAGAAATATGATAGATAACGAGGGAGGGAGACAACAAATACTCCTGTATATCAAGAAACTATATCAGTGTCGGGATATCTATACATGGAGTGAGAAACATGAGAAGCATGCTGGAAAGCATTTGGTGAAGTTTACTGGAGTGAGAAACAGATATGATATTGTCATTGGAACACTCTACAAACCACTTGGACAGAAAGAAGATATAGATGAGTAGTTTGGAAAACAGACCTGACACCAAAGCAAGATATACTCTATTCTTGATCGTGGGCTTCAATTATACAGACACGTGCTGGAGCTCTCTCTCTCCCCAAATCAGAACAATTAATTTCTTCATTACTTTAATGATAAATCCATACTATTAAAGACAGAGGAAGCAATAAGGCTGTTATTGTATATATGGTTTACACCAATAAGGAAGAACTGGTTGGTGGAGTCATGTGATGAGGACCTTGTGAAGAAGTAACCACTTCATCTTAGAATGTATGATAAAGGAGAGGAAAGCTGCGGAAATCCAGTGTGACTTGGATTTTTGGAAGACCAGATTTCAGAGCACTCAGAGAAAGAGAGGTGGGATGTCCTAGACCAAATTTCTATAGAAGTCAGCCCAGGAGAGATGGGAGACACTTAAGACTGAATTTTGGAAAAGAAAAAGAAAAATAATTCTGACAAGAAGGAATAAAAGAGGCCAACGAAGATTTTTACGAACTTATTAACCAACTTAGATTTCAAGACATGTCTAGAAGGTGTAAATAAGCATAATGCTTACTACATTTGGGAGAAAAGGAAGACAACTGGAGGAAATAAGAACACTATTCAGAAAAACCAAAGAGAGATGAAGAAGAGATGTTTAATTTCTATTTTATTTTTATGCTCCTGTCAAAAAGAATCATAGCCAATAGCTATTTCATAAACACTTACTGTGCTAAATGCTGGGATAGAAATACAAAAAGAAAGATAGTACATACCTGAACTCAAGGACCTTAGAATCTCATGGGACAGGACAATATAGAAAAGGAAGCCAAAAAGGAAGGGAGAGGATGCTTAGGGTGGGGCAGATGGGAAAGAAGTCAAAGAAGTCTAAAATGCATGCAACTAGGAGGGAGATAAGGAGATTTCCAAGATGTCTCTCTGGGGTTTCCTTTCTTTAAATGGAGGTTGTCCCCCATGTCTAGAATGCCATCTCTCCTCCTCTTTACCTCTTGGCATCCTTAATAAGACTAGCTCAGATACTACTTTTTGAAGAGGCCTTTCCTGACCTCCCTCCCCAACTTTCCCCTCTAAGGTTACCCTCTTCCTACTCTACATGTATTTTCTATGTATCTATTTATTTACATGTTGCCTCCTCCATTTATATGTAAGCTCCTAGAAGGCAAGTATTGTTTTTGTGTTTTTCTTTCTCTTTGAACTTTCAGTGCTAAGGCACTGTACTTAGCATATAGAAATTTTTTAAGAATTTTTTTTTAAGAAATTAAAATTTAAGAAATTTAATTTAATTGACGAAATTTAATTTAAGAAGTTAAAATTAAAAAAAAATTAAGTTCTCCTTGTTTGACTGATTGACAAAACAAAAAAAGGTCTAAAAGGAAGTTGATTTATTTTACCCAGATCAGTGATTTCATTGTTGTAGGGAGATTCCAGTGTGAAAAGTTTCTCTACCAATGTAAACTGGCAACTGTCCTAATACCATATTAATCAATCAATCAATCAACAAGCATTTATTAAATATTATATTTTTTAAATGTTTTGGGGAAACCAATAGGTTAATGGACTTGTCCCAGGTCACACAGCCAATATGTAATAGAGAGCAGTACTTCACCCTGGCCTTTCTGACTCTGAAGCGAGTCCTCTATCCACTCTGCCATTCTGCCTCTCAGGGATTTGATAAACAAGCCTAAAAGTGAAGATATATTAAGATAGTAGTATTCCTAGAAAAGTTCAGGTCAGCGGGCTCAGATGTATTATATTCTATGTACTGAAAGTACTGGCAGATGTGATTGCTTCCTGAGGCACCATCAGGAATTTTGGAAAGATTATGAACAACAGAACATCTCCTATTGAAGAAGGTAAAATGTCATGATTTTTTTAAAAACAGGAAAAATGGAGTCTGCAAATTATGACAAAGTGAATGTAATGGTGATTTCTTGCAAAGTTTTTTAAGGTATTGTTTCTCACAATTTTATTGCTTCCTTTCGTTTTTATATGGAAATGATTTCTTGCACCTCCTCCAGTGATTGAATCCTTGCTTGTAATAAAAGAACATTTAAGCAGACCTAATACAGAAACTGCATCTGACAGCACATACAGCATTCCACATCTATAAACACCTACTTCTTTCCTGAAAGCAGAGTGCTATGGTTCATTATGAGTTCTCCTGGTCCAGGACTGCTATTGTAATTTATCTAAATTCCTATGCCTTTTATTGTGCTGATTACATCAAACTTCAAGATAGTATAGGATCTTCTTAAATATGCTCCAAATCTAGATAACAGTCTACAGATGAAAAACCAAGTGGATGAAGAAAGTATATTGCTCAGATGATGCCATACAATTGGAGTGGTAGACCGCTGAGTTTGTCCAGCAGTTTACATATATAGGACAAGGACTGTGGATGGACTGAAAGTTGACTAGGAAGAGAAAATAATAATTTGGGTGGCATTTTGGAAATTGTGCAGTGCTTTCTATGATTCTGAGGTGCTCCCACACTAAAGTTCATTCTTTCAACATCAACATTCTCCTGGTGATGTTATATTGTAGTGGAAGAAATACAATCCCAGACTTCCAGGAGCCAAGATAGTGGAGTATAAATCACTCTCACTGTCCATTATTGACCTCTGAATGCCCAGAAAATATCACCCCAGCAAAAATCCTAGAAGAAGTGAGCCAGCAAAAAGGCAGGGTGCCGCAGTCTTGTAGCCCAGGAAGCTTGGAGGATTAAGGGGAAAGGGAGTGGGAGCTTGTAATCCAAAAGAATTATGAACTGCACAATACTTTCACTTTAGGTTCAGATCTTGAGACACAATGACATGCACTGGATACAAACTTAACAAGTAATTGGGTTTATTTGATAATGCTTAAGGTGACAGAGAAGTAGGGATTAGAATAATGTACATATGCATATGATCCAGCGAATGATAATCAAAATAGAACAAAGAAAGAATAGAAATAAAACAAAGAAAGAATAGATACATCACCAACCAGGTGAGCTCCAACACCTGACACAGGGACCAGGGGAGACTTCAGGAGACAGTCATCAGGGTCCTGGTTGGGAAAGTCAACAGAGTGGGTGTCCCTATCTCTGAAGGGAAGACCTTCAAAAGTTCCTTTACCAAGGGCCCTTTTTATATCTATGTAAACCAAGGGAAAACAACCTTAGAACAAAGGTGGAACTTGGCCAAAGCTCCAGATGCCTATTTTTATGTACGTACCCAAGGATGGGCCAGATCCCTGAGCACTTACATGTTTTCCTTGAGATAAGAGTTGTTGCACCCTGGCAACATAGTTTGTTTGTTCTTTGATGTTCTGTTCCCTTGGTGCTCCTGGTCACACATACTAACTTTAAATTACATTCTTTATGTCAGGTCATGAGGCGGTCATGCAAGGGGTTGGGGAGGATCTCCTCAGTTTCCCTTATAGAGTTATGATGGGAGGTGTCCCAGCAAGCCAGTGGCAAGCCCCACCTCAGCAAACCAGGGGGAGATCCTGAGCCTACGGGTGTTGGAGCAAGATAATGCCAAAGTCATGACCCCTGAGTGCCTCAGCACAGGCAGGGAAACCGGTAGCCACCAGCTTAGAAAACCACCACATGCACTGGTGGGTAGACATCCTCCAGCAGCCAAACCTCCCAGTGCTTTAAAGAAGCCTGGGTGAGCAGGTGTCCTCCCGGAGGCAAACTCCCCACCCCTGCCCCAAAAGCTCCAATGTCGCTGACCCCAGCTCAGCACCAGATAAGCAGTCAGACTCCCACATCCTTCAGCTTCCAATACTTGAGGCCCCAGCACACAAAGAAAGTGACAGGGTCCAAGGCTCCCAGCACAAGAAGTTTGGGTCAGTGCCCCCTGAGCTGCAGCAGGAGAGTTCAATTTTAAAAGCCAGGAAATAGGCAAAAACCATGAGCAAAAAGCAGAAATGGACAATGACCACCGATTCTTATTTTGGGGACAGGGAAGATCAAGGCACAAATTCAGAAGAGGACAACATTGTCAAAATACCCACAACCGAAACCTCAAAGGGGAATATGAACTGGACTTAAGCCCAAAAAGCCTTCTTGGAAGAGCTTAAGAAAGATTTTAAAAGTCAAATAAGAGAGGTAGAAGAAAAATCGCGGGAAAAAATGAGAGGTGTGCAAGAGAGAGTCAATAGATTGGAAAAGGAAGGATAAAAATTGACTATAGAGTTCCACTTCTGGGAGCCAAGATGGTGGAATAAGAAGTCACTTTCACCCTCCCTTATTGACCTCTGAAAGCCTTGAAAATATCACCCTAGGAAAAATATTGGAATAGCTGAACCAGTAGAAAGATGGGGTGCAGCAGTCTTATAGCCCAGAAACCTTGGGGGATTAATGGGATAGGCCCCTCTTACTCTGGGAGAGGGGAATCAATAGAGAACAGGAGGTGTCCCAGCAAAATGGAGGCAAGTCGCACCTCAGCCTACCACGGTGAAATCCTGAACCCCAGGGTGTTGAAACAGGCAAGCACCAACACCAAGACCCCCCAATGCCTCAGTACAGGCAGGGGAACCAGTGGAAACTGGCTCAGAAATTCCACCATGTGCCACAGTGTTCTCTGGCAGCCAAGTCTCCCAGTGCCTCAGCAAAACTCTGAGAAGCACAACTCCAAGAGGGAAAGCTCCAGGCAGAGAAACATCCTGTAGCAGTGAAATATCCCACTGCAAGGCTCGGGTGAGCAGAAGACAAAGGAACGCAAGACCTAGGTGAGCAGGCATCCTCCAAGGGCCAGATTTCCTATCCCTACTCCTACCCCTAGAGCTGCAGTGTTACTGATTGCAGCCCAACAGCAGGTAAGTGGCCAGAACCCTACAGCGTCCAACTGCTAGCATCTGAGGCCCCAGCACTCAAACCTAGGGACTAGGTCCTGGGCTTCCAGCACAAGAAGCTTGGGTCAGTGCCCCCTGCTCCCCAGCAGGAGAGCTCAATTTTTTTAAAGGTCAGGAAATAAGCAAACACCATGAGAAAAAAGAAACTTACAATGACCAGAGATTCTTATTACAAGGACAGGGAAGATTGAGGCAGAAACTCAAAAGAGGATAACATTGTCAACAAACCTGCATCTGAAACTTCAGAAGGGAATATCAACCGGTCTGAAGCCCAAAAACGCTTCTTGGTAGAGCTCAAGAAGGATTTTAAAATTCAAATAAGAGAGGCAGAAGAAAAATTGAGGAAATGACAGGTATGCAAGAGAGAGTCAATAGCTTGGAAAAGGAAGGACAAAAATTAACCGTAGAAAACAAGTCCTTAAAAAATACAATTGGCCAAATGGAAAAAAAAAAAAGTACACCGAAGAAAAGAAATCCTTAAAAAATACAATTGACCAGCTGGAAAAAAAAATGTACATTGAAGAAAACATCTCCTTAAAAAGCAGAATTGGCCAAATGGAAAAGGAGGCACAAAAATTCACTGAGGGTCTTGGGAAAGTCCCTTGACCACAAGGACCTGTTCATCCTGCTTCACATGGTCCAGCCTCCCACGGAGGAAGTCTCAGCTTGGGCCAGACACCCAGGGTTCACTGAGCATAAAGTAAGCATGCACTGAGGATGGCAGGTGCTCAAAAAGAGGCCTGGGAAGCCAGCCCTGCCCCCCCCCCAAAAAAAAACAGCCCCACAGCACCCTGGGCACGTGAAGAAAGAAGTGCTGGGGGGGAGGGGAATGTGGGGTGCGGCAGCTGAAAGTACACATGCTTCCTGGCTGCTGGGTTCCCTAGCCTAGGGGTGGAAGATGAATAAGAAGCAGTTTGGCATGTAGAGCAGCAAGCAGCCTTGGTGCCAGGAAGACTTGGTCAAGCCCTGCCTCCGACAGTTTGCTGGCTGGGACATCATAGGTAAGAAAACTGAGGACAAGAGAGGGAAAGTGACTTGCCCAAAGTTGAACAGCAAAATGGATATTCTAAATTCTCCCACCTCCAAATGCATCACTTATTGGAAAAGAAAAGTTAAGTCTGAGTACATGTGACTTCGACAACTCAAACGGTTTCAGGCAAATATGGGTGCAAAGGCTGTGTTTGTGGCCAATTTTGCAAAAGTTCAAGAAAAAACTCAGATACTCAAAGACTGGAAGAGGATCCAAGTCCAGCCTGTTCAATTGATGAGGCCTGTGAGTGGGCATACTTTCCTCAAAAAGTGTACTGTAGAAAGCAATTTGTCAGGATTTGACAGCCAGGATATGTCAATGAGATCTCTGAATACAGTTGCACCGGTGCCCATCATGTATTCCTGGTCTCCTCTCAAGCAAAATTTCATGGTGGAAGACGAGACCGTTTTGTGCAATATTCCCTACGTGAGAAATGAGGTTAAAGAAGAAGATGAAAATTTCATTGAAGAACTCATCAATAACTATGATGGGAAAGTCCATGGGGAAGAAGAGAGGATCCCAGGTTCTGTCCTGATCAGTGATGCTGTGTTCCTGGAGTTGGTAGATGCCCTGAATCAGTACTCGGATGAAGGGGAGAGGAGCAACAATGACTCTTCTGAGGGGAAACAGAGTTGCCAGTCCTCAGGAAGAAAAAAACGACTCGTCATTGAAAGCAACAAAGAGGTCCAAGAAACAATTCCCTAATGACACGAGCTTCAGCCCCATTTCTTCCACATTCCCTGAGAACGGTGTTCCGGATGACATGAAAGAGAGGTATCAAGAACTCACAGAGGTATTGTAGTGTTTTGCCTTCCTAGTGCACACCAAATACCAAAGACCCCTGAGTCAAGTCTGTGCATCAAGAACAATCCCCACTTTCCTCCACACATTCTTCTCTGACACTGCTTCAGATATGACTGCTTCCTTCACCCTTGTCATGCCACTCCTAATGTGTACAAACACAGGAACAAAGAAATCAAGATTAGCCAGACCCATGTGGATTGGAGTGCTTCCTGTAACTGTGAACCTCAGTTTTAATTTTTCAGAGACTATGTGCTCCGTGACTCACATCCATAGAGCACTGCAAATCAAATCTGGATCCTATCTTCAGAATTTCCTACAATAAAATGGATGGAGGCAATGTGGATAGAGTAGGTAGTCACTCCTGCAGTGAAGTTTGAAGGCCTCCCTGTCCAAAATATTTGCTGACCAGCTGCCATAATGCTGGAAATTCCTTAATTAAAATTAACGTCATTCATTTGCATTTAAAAAATCCTCACTGAGGAGAAGAAGTAAAGAAAGAAAAAGTAAAATGGGCCAAATGGAAAAGGAGGTACAAAATTTAATAGAAGAAAACAATTTGTTGAAAATTAGAATCAGACAAATGGAAGCTAATGACTCTATGAGAGAGCCAGAATCAGTCAATCAGAAACAAAAGAATGAAAAAAAAAATAGATGAAAACATAAAGTACCTCAACTGGTAAAACAACTGACCTCGAAAATAGATCCAGGAGAGGCAATTTAAAAATTATTGGTCTACCTGAAAACCGTCATGAAAAAAAAAAAAGAGCCTGGACAGCATCTTTCAGGAAATCATCAAGGAAAACTGCCCTGAGGTCCTAGAACCAGAGGGTAAAATAGCCATAGAAACAATCCACTGATCACCTCTTAAAAGAGATCCCAAATTTTGAAAATGCCAAGGAATATAGTAGCCAAATTCCACAATTATCAAGTCAAAGAGAAAATACTGCAAGCAGCCAGAAAGCAACAATTTAAATATCATGGAACCATAGTCAGGATTACACAGGACCTTGCAGCTTTTACATTAAAAAATCATAGGTCGTTGAATGCGATATTCTGTAAGGCAAAGGGCTTGGATTACAACCAAGGATCAATTACCCAGCAAAAATGAGCATAGTCTTTCAGAGGAGGAGATGGACATTCAACAAAATAGGGGATTTCCAAACCTTCCTGATAAAAAGACCAGAGCTCAACAGAAAATTTGATCTTAAAATACACGACTCAAGAAAGGCATAAAAAGGTAAACAAGACAGAAAAAAAAAACAACATGGTATTAATAAGGGCAAACTGTTTACATTCCTACAAGGGAAGATGACACTTGTAACTCTTGAGAACTGTATTGTTATTATATCATTTGAAAGGAGTGTACATAGACAGAGGGGGCGGATTACATTACAGGAAAAGGCAC